TTAGTAAATATGGCGGATTTTAGATTATGTTGAGGTCCTCTCCTATTAAATCAATAATGAAATTCGATGACTACGAGTCAACGATGACTTTCAAACAGTGCTCTACCTTTCGAATTTCATATCTTTATTTGTTAGCATATTTAGTTGAGAAAAGACTTCTGCCAAATTGCGATAGAAAAGTTACTGTTTACAGTCAAGTCTTCCTCTGAACAATGTACAGAAACATAAATATTCGATTTAAAAAATAGTCAATATTAAGTTAACAGTTCAAACCTTTCTTAGGAAACAATAGTGCTTAGCCAGTAGTATCCATTAATTCAGCTAGCACTATGCTATCTGTGACGAGTCTTTTGATAGTAAAGCTCAGTCTGGCTGTCTCTCATAATATTGCATAAACAATATGATTCATTAAAAAATGTGGCTGAATTTTCATGAAAAATTCTATCATATTCATATTTTTGGTCACCATTCATTTGACGAGTGATTTAATCCAATCAGAACTTTCTTACGTTTAAAGAGCCGTAAATAAATAGACCAACTGTATTGCAAGAGACAAATCTCAGTCATCGTATCATCATAAATTTAATGTGAATTGTGGTGCCGTTCTACCGTACTAGTTCAATACTGTTAGGTAACAGCTCACAGACTTGACGATCAATTCAATGTTCATTATTAACATCTTCTCTTCTTTCAAGTAGTGGCGTACCGAGAACAGTGGCGACTCGCTGGCGGTGAGGGGACAGTGGAAGGTGGCGCCACTGTCTTTTTGCTTTTAACTGTCTAACTTAATGTTATGAAGATCTGAAATTTTTATCATAATCTGGCCCTAACATGCAGTATATATGATAAAAATGTCAGGTCTTCATAACATTCAGTTAAAAAGCTAAAAGCAAAAAAAGAGTGGCGCCACCTTCCACTGCCTCCTCATCGACAGCGAGTCGCCACTATTTCATCTGAGAAAATACTAGAACCTAAACTACATGAATATGTAACTGACAAATGTGTTGTTATCGATAATACATTCTACTATTTATTCATGCAATAAAGTGTTGAATACTAAGCAGCCTATGAGATTTCTACCGACATTTTGAGGATGATACATTAATTCTACGTAACACTGAGAATCTTTCTGAACAAAATAACACTGTGAAGTACTTTTCTTAAACTTTTGCACAAGTGTACTTTACAAAGTCGCAATTTAGGAGAGATATTATGATATTTGGGCATTGCGTCACAATCCTGGTATATTATACGATTGCTGGCATATGATGACAAATGCTACCAAACATGGTGTTTCACACCAAGATGCGTACAAAAAGTATATTGGTATACATCAATTGCCAATACCAAAAGAACATGATCTAATCGAAGTTGAATCGTCATTTGGTGGTATTGCTATTTATCAAACGAAATATATTCGTGACTGCATGTACTTTGGTTATGGTAAAAATGGTCTTGAACTCTGTGAACATGTTCCATTTAATTTATGCATTCGAGGCAATGGAGGAAGAATATTCATTAATCCAAGGTTTCAAAACTCGAAAGGTCAGTTTCATAAATGAAACTTCGGCCAAGAGTTTCCAGTAATGACGTTTTCCTTGACTATATTCTCTTAAATGAATAGCCAAGGTGATAAAGAAAACCACAATTTCAACAAAAGGTCGTAGAGCTTGTGGTGATGAGTGCGAGTGAGTACTTGGATGCATCTGCTACAGTTCTGACGCAGTTGTGTGCGAGTTGGTGTACGTATGGATGTAGGATGTAGTTGCAGGTGCTGGTATGGATTGCGCTTTTAATGGAAGTCAACACGAACCTGGCATCATCGCACAGATCTACAAGTACTCTCACAATCATAGCTTCGCCCACACCCATGCCCACAATCATATTCGACTCCCGTACTGAGACCTACTTATACCAATAACCACACCCAAATTTAATGATGACTTCTTCTATATCTCAATAAAGACCATTGTAACATAATTTAGACGAGCATTACGATCAATTTTATCCAAAATGGAAATTGTAGTATGTCTTTTGACTATAATTCTTGATTTGGCTTCTTCAGACGACAAGGATAGATCTGGACATACTATTGATGATGTTACAGTTATTATTTGTTCTTGTTGTTGTCATCGATTTTTTCACTTACCTCCACCAGAACATAAATACGTAATGCATACTGATTAATATAAATCGATGTATTCAAGCTTACGCATGAGTGGAACAATCTCTAGTAAATATTCAATACTAATGGAGTTGGCGATCTTGTAAAAGATAGAAAAAATCGTCTGCTAGAAAGCTCTATAAAGACTTGATAAAGACTTACGCATTAAATTTATGACTATTTTTCGATTGTTTTCATTTTTCTTATTGTTGTTGGTAATGATAATGACGACGGCGTTCGGGATAATCGTTCCTTTTTTGTTCTTGTTTCTACTGATAGTTTTAAATTCATCGTTGCTGTCTTTTTCTTTACGAGAAGCTGATAATTTAGTTTATTTTTGCAATAAACGTTGCTCTTTCACGGCTAGATCAATAAAAGTTTTGTCACTGTCACATTATATTGTTTGATTTGAACTACATCATCATTATCCTTCCAAATATTTATATAAAGATTATAAAGATCGACGTGGCACGGCAATTCCGCCATATTTAAGAGTTTTTTCTGTTTTAAGCTAATATACCTTCTAAAATTTCATTAACTACTCTTCAGATGTGGATGTGAATATATGCATAGGTACAGGACATGGGTGTGAGTGCAAGTGTTGGAATCTGGTTGTAGACAGTATGGTTCCCGTACCTTTCATTTCAGTCCAACGCCCATATCGAAACCCTACAGCCAACCACACAACTGTTTATGGAGTTTTCGAAGTAACATTAACTTGACACAGAAAAAAAAGCTTCATTTTGCGCGGAACAATTGATGAACGAGAAGTCGACATTTGCACTTTTCTCCACATAAATATCATAAACATATTGATGCCAAAGGACATCAAATCGATCAATATCTCTTTGAATATATAGCAGAAATTTTTTCATGTTTAAATATTTTCAATCTTTGAAAGCTACACTTATCCTTACCGTGGACTAATCGCATGTTTCGGATGAGAGAATCTTTAACTGAAACTAAAGGAGATCACCATAAAAAAAAGCTGCTTTGTTCTTAATGGGTTTTAAAATAGTTGATACATCTACCTAGAAGTAAAAAGAAAAGTTTAAGGTAAGCATGAGAATTATTTACAGATTTTTATGCTCTCATTTTATATATCATGCCAAAAAATGTTTTATATAACATAATCAAAACTATTAACGATAAACTGATGATAGACACTGCCAAATGGACCAAAAGCCACGACCATAATCACGATGACGCGTGTCATAACCGTGACCAATGATAATTGAGCAAATGAATGAAGAAAAGCATATCTTGCATTGGCAGATTCAAAGATAGTGCTAGGGGCGATCGCTCTTTCGGTCCAAAGCATTTTTCGTTTTTTCTCAGCACGATACGCCTAAAAATAAGCCGATAAAACCTCAAATCGACTTTCAAACACGTTTTGTCACGATGATCACCCCTGTCTCAAAATCAGAAAATCACCAGTGATATCTCGCTATTATTTGAATTGAAATAGAAAAATTGAAACCTTTTATTATGTAGATTTGTTTATTTAATCTTTATTATAGTCTACAAAAAAATTATTATTTAAGGAGAATGAATTATACAATGGCTAAAATATTACCCTACACAAAGCGTAAATTAGTTTTTTAGTATGCACTATATTACTGTCATGCATGGCCGTGCCGTTTGCGGCGCGATACTACCAGTCTATACTAAATAACGTGCCGCTACACGACCGCACTTCGAACGTACACAGTTCTTTCGATCAAATCGTTGACGGCCATACACAGTTGTAGCCAGTCCAACAATAAGAAAAGAAATGCTTGTCATCGATTTTTCTTCATTCAACAACTATGTTCAAATTACATTGCTCAAATCTGATTTTTACAACCTAATTTCATCTTATTGCGCTTTTTCATCAAACCTAGAAAACATTAGAAAAAACTGAGCGTCTGGAGTTTCTGACAAATATGAAAAGCATCTAAAGAAGTGCTACAAAAAACAATTGTACATAAATTATTATGCATAATTTCCGGTCCGCCTATTTGACAGAGTATCTCGGAGAACCTCTGTGAATGTGTTCTGCTTCAAGAAACCAGCAGAAATTATTGAAAAATCATTCGAACAAAAAAGCATCAAGAAAATCCTGCATCGTAGTTTGGGTTACATGAATTTCGACTCACGGATTTTGACAACAGTAAGTAAAAAGAAAAAGTGTCATCTGATTACGACATACTTTAACTTATATTGAGATGCAACAAGCAGTTCGTGCAGCACAATTTTTCAAAATGATATCGAAATTTAGATTATTTGATGCTTCCATTCAACGTTTTCATCTTAGATTCAAAAAGGGCAGCGGTATTTATTCAGAACAGTAGTTGCTAAAAAGTTGAGCATCTATAACTTTAAACTTTAGGTATATATACAGCTATGTGGACTTGAATGACAACAGTTTAACGTTAGTAAGTATTTGCATGCTGTCGACGAATGTCTGTTATAAAAACATGTAAGCGTCCAGGTTTCACAAGACTTATATTGTACCAATTGTTTCAAAAACTAAATTGTCACGCTGCCAATCCATACTGTTGCGCAACTATTACTTCGCAATATATTGATATTTTAGTAATAAATAAATTTCTTTTTATTATTCAATCGAGTTCATACCGATACTGATTTTTACTAAAAATAATTGAATGGATGAACAATATAATACTTACACAACGTATATTCTTTATGCATTCGATTAGTTAATTTTCTTATAATTCAAAATCAAACCTATAAATGACAATGATTATAGATAATCTCTACTAATTATCTTAAATCAATAGAATATGAATTCTTATTTTCTTCAATGATGATGTACAGATATTTATTCAGTAGTGATTTTAATCTAGACATTTAATGCTAATAAAGATACAATAACAGTAAGAAAGAAAAACTACAAGAGATAAACAATTCTTTGCTATCTTGATATCTGTCCAATATATACATGAACGTATTAACATTGTTTTTTGTTGACTATATGAGAAAATAATATTATCTGACGTACTCAAGTAGACAATATCTGAGAATACAAACAAAATCACACATACACATACATCTATATCGATCTGAAATTTATTTATAAAAAATGTGGTGTTTGTGTTTGATCAAGATATGTTGCATCGGTAAATGTTTCTGATAATGGTTTGCTTGATTTAAGGTCTTTAAGCCATGTTTGAAGTTGATCTTTTATTATAGGATAATGTCCTAATGTGCGGCGTGTTAATTTAAGAGTTCGACGTGATAAATACCAATGACCTTGAGTTTTCCAAAATGTTTGGAATAAACATTCTAAAAAACATAATCACATGAAAAAATAGATGTTAATTCTTCTTCAAGCAGAAACAAACCTTTAGCCCAACCAGGTATACGAGTTTCATCTTCATCATCATTATCGGAATCTTGATCTGAACGTACATCTTCAATACCATAATCACCATCACCTGAATCGGGAGTTGTATCACTAGCAAAAAAAATATTAAAAAATAGAACAGTAAGATTGATTTGTCTATTTTTAAGAAAACTAGAAATGGTGCTCGTGTCAGTAAAAGTATGCAAACGATCTTCAACAGAAAAACTAGCTCACAAATTCGAACACACGACACAGGTTTTAAAGATCTCTTCAACTGGTTTTTCTACAGAATATAACATATTCTTATCGAATCTGTCAAAATCGTAGTTCACAGAAATAAACCATTCTTCACTATGATTCCAAAACGTATAAACTATCACAGCATTAAAATTCTTCTTTTGTATATAAATATGTGTACGTACAGTGTCTCAAAAGATATTTTTGTATTTTTAGTAATACAACGTATGGTAAAGACAATGCCTGGGAAAATCATAAAGCGTATAATATCGATATGTGTCGCGTATGCGAAGCAAATTAAAAAAAAAGAAATTTTCAACTAACGTCATTGTTGTATCAAGTTCCAATTCATCATAAACATTTGTAGGTGTTGGTAAAATAGTCCAATCCGCTTTCTGTTGTGCATTTGGTTGAATTAATGAACTTGATGGTAATGTAATATCATTTCTTTGTGGATTATTTTTATCAACAACAAAGGTATATTCAGCATTTGCTGTTTTTTTTGATCCATAATTTGTTGGTTGTTTAAATATTTTATTTTGACCAAGTATTTTATTACTAGTTGTATCCAATATAACAGGTTTATGTTGTTGTTGCTGTACAGTTATTTTTGGAAGATTTGTTGATTCATTCATTGAATTATTAAATGTTGTTGAATTATTAAAAGTATTTCCTTGTGCTTTTTTATTAACAATAGCATTTGTTTTTGTTTGATTATCAGATATACGTAATTGATTTTTTTGATCTTTATCTTGTTGAATTTGTTTAGCACGATTAAGAACTTCTTCACGTTTTTTTGCTTGTTCATGTACTTTTTAGGAACAAAAGAAGATTTCATAAACAAAAAAAGAAAAATAAATTTCAATTTTACTTACATTTTTCTACTTTACGTTTACGTTCTTCTTGTTTACGTTCTTCAACAGCACGTGCTAATTGTTCACGTTGTTCTTGACTTAGACGAGATGTATTAATTGTAACTGATGGTTTATTACGAAATAATGTACGAGAATCTGGACGATGTTGGCGATCGTTTGATGGACGTGCAAACTAATCAATCAATTTAAATTTCGTATTTTTAATTGAATAATTTTATTTACTTTACGAATAGCACTTGTTTTACCCGTACCAAAACCTGAAATACGTTTACCAGCTGACCATTTTGATGATAATTTTTGCTTAATGAAAAAATAAATAATAAATATTAAAACAAAAAAAAAAGGATTGAAATAGGTTAATTACTGGAAATTTTTGACCTGTTGTTGATGTTCGATTTGATGAAGTATTTAATTGTGTTGAAGTATCATTATTATTTTCGATCATTTTTACTTGTTGTTTTTTCTTTTTACCTTTTTTCTTTGCTAATTTTGGTACTTCATTTTCTTCGTCACCATTTGCATCGACATAATTCTGATCATCATTATCATCGAGAAGAATTAC